CACCTGGATTCTCCTATCATTTCCCCCTGTTTTTAGTGACCTCATTTGTACAAGATTGACTAAAACAAGATAAGATGCAAAAGTTACACAATTTTGGAAGAATGGTAGACTTCTGCCAAGCCGTTCCCTCTAGAACACCCAAAGAGCAAACCTGCCACATTCTTCTTGCAGGCCAGCCAGGTCCTAGGCCGTGCTGGAGTTCCTTCCCAAAATACTGTCCTTTGGGAAACACAGGCAGCTGCAGCACCATCACCCAGGTAGCCCAGAGGAAAGAGAGCCCAGGGGCCACAGAGCCCCAGGAGCCAGAGAGCCAGCCCTCTTTTTATTTCCGTGCCCCCCGGAGGTATTCAGCTTCTCAGCCAATCCCGTCCTGGACTGTCTACCATTGTCCCGGCAAACTCCTCCTACGACCCCGCCCTACTTCTCCCCGGTGATCTGATTGGATCTCTCTGTATCATAACTAACCACATTAAGGAGTTTGGACTTGTTCATGGGAGATAATGATCTGTAATTTTCCTTTTTATAATGTCCTTATCTGGTTTTGGTATTAGTGTAATGCTGTTTATTACAACTACTTAGAAAGTGTCCGCTCTTCAGCTTTTCTGGAAGAGAGCTGTAGGTAACTGGTATCATTTCTTCCTTCAATGTTTGGTAGAATTCACCAGGGAAATCATATGGGGCCAGTGCTGTATTTTTTGGAAGGTTATTAAATATCCATTCAATTTCTTTCATAGATAAAGTCCTATTCAGATTATCTGTTGCTCCTTGCGTAAGTTTAGTAGATTGTGTCTTTCAAGGAATCAGTCCATTCCTTCTAAGTTATCAAATTTGTGGGCATAGAGTTGTTCCTAATATTCCTTTGCCCTGACAATCAGTAGTGGAGGGGAGCAGAGTTTGCCACTTCAAAATATGTCTCTTTGGGATAGTGATTATTTTATTTAGGCTGGTTAATTTTAAGAAACAAAAGACAAGGGAGAACCTCTGAAAAGCAAGTAGAAGTTACCCTTTGTACAAGGACATTTACATTTGTAAGGGCGTTTCTCTCACTGTACCAGAAAAGGAGAATCTCTCTAGAAATTGTTATCAATGGACAAAGTATGGGCTTAAATCTGCACACTAATATGATGTTTGTTTATTGCACTTTTCCTGGTAAACTCCCGGAACTGACTCCACACCCTCACCATGTCTTTTGTCTTTAGCTGAAGGTAAAGGTGAAGGCTTTTGTCATGTGGGTGAGTTATTCAGTGTTTCTGTATCTCTCCCATCTATACAGGAAGTATATGTGTTATTAAACTTTAATTTGTTTTTCTCCTGCTAATCTCTCATGTCAATTTGATTATTGGACCAGCCAGAAGAATCTAAAAGGTAGAGAGAAAAACTTTTTCTCCCTGATAGTAGTGATGATCCCTCTTTCATTTTGATATTAGTAACTTATGCCTTCTGTTTCTTGGTTAGCCTGGTTAGAGGTTTATTAATTTTATTGATCTTTTCAGAGAATCAGCTTTAATTTCATAGTTTCTCTATTGTTTTCCTGTTTTTCATTTCATGGGTTTCTGCTCTAATTTTTCTTATTTCTTTTATTCTGCTTTATTTAGGCTTATATTGTTATATTGGTCTCTTTCTCCAGTTTTCCTTTTTTTAAAAAAAAAGATTTATTTATTTTTAGAGGGCGGGGAAGGGAAGGAGAAAGAGGGAGAGAAAGAAACATCAATGTGTGGTTGCCTCTTGTGTGCCCTCTACTGGGGACCTGGCCCGCAACCCAGGCATGTGTCCTGACTGGGAATCAAACCAGAGAATCTTTGGTCCACAGGCTGGCATTCAATCCACTGAGCCACACCATCCAGGGCTCTTTCTAGCTTTCCTAAGGTGGAAGCTTAGATTATTGATTTTCTATCTTTCTTCTTTTATAATATTTGTATTTAATGCTATAAATTTCTCCTGAGCACTGTTCTTGCTGCATCTCACAAATTTTATAAGTTGTACTTTCATTTTCATTAATTCAAAGTATTTTTTAATTTCTTGAGACTTCTTTTTTGACAAATTAATTTTTTAGAACTATGTTTAATCTCTAAATATTTTGGGATTTTCCAGCTATTTTTCTATTATTACTTTATAATTTCATAGTATCCTTTTAAACAGTTGTATAGCATCCTGTTACATAGATATATCCTTATTTATGTAAAATGTTTTTAAGACATTTTTGCTTTATAAATGATGCTATTAGTATTGAATAGAAAGAATTCATCCACCCAGCACTAGCAGAGCCAAACACTAAACACCAAGCATTGCAATAGAAGAAATATTGGCTATTTTATTATAAATGGCACCACCCCAGAGAATGGGAAACCAATGCTCAAAAGCTCGAACTCCCCGATGGCATGTAGGTTACGTATTATATAGGGCTGAATTACAAGACACCATAGATTGGGGTTCCGGGTCGTGTGGGGAACTCATTGGTAGGAGGTGTGGTATGGGCAATAAAGCATTTCTGCAGGACTGCTCTAGTGTCCCTTTGTCTGGTTTCATGGAAAAGTAGCCAGGAGGTTGTTCCACCTTAAGGCCAAGGAGCTGAGACATAATTGAGGTCAAGATAGTATCTTTCGCTTGACAGAAACCCATACCTTGTGGTCCTTAGTGAAGGCTTGGCCGTTGTTGCTGGCTGCCTCAGGGCATTAATGGCTAGTAAGGGAAAGGGCTAATGAGACAGGACGTGCTGTGAAGAAACTGAATAGAGTGCTGGGGCTACATATTAAATACAAATCACACACTAACTCAGGACCCCTAGTTTCACTATAAAGAATATCCTACATAAGACTGTGCAACTGCAATGAAATATATGTTATACTGAGAGAAGTTTAGGATGCTGTGATAGCACATAGTAAGGATGTCTAGTCTGATCTGTAGAGCTCAAGAAAGCCTTCCTCAAGAAAAAGGTATTTAAGCTGAGAGTGAAGCAGTTGGTATGGGAATGCTAAGCAGAGAATATTAGGCAAATGAAGGCCTGGAAGAAGGAGACGGGGAAAAAATTGAGGTGCAGAGGACGAATCAGTATAGAAGATGACTTGTTTCAAGAAGTGAACATAAGTTCATTCGGCTTGGAATAAAATGTTTGTGGGTACGAGGAGTGGCAAGAAAATGAGGCTAGAAAGGTAAGCTAAAATGATACTAGTGGCTAAAAAGCCATATTTAAGAGTTTGAATTTGATCTTAAAAGTAATGGGGAACCACTGAGGAATTTAAGCAGAGAGAATGATATGATTAGATTGCAATTTAGAGAGAGCACCGTTTGCCATATGTAGGATGGATTGATAGAGACATTAAGGCTATTAGGGAGACAAGGAGTCTCATCAATCTACTGAATTCCTCATTTGTTCCCTGGCAGAACTGCTTTGTTCATCTTTTCATTGTGCAGTTCTACATATAATATAGAAATTAATTTCTAACGTATTTATAAGTTGCTTTTTAAATTTTGACTTCCTACTTTTCAACCTCAGTTCCTAACTCCTAAATTTTATGTCAGATCACGCAAGGTTTTTTAGTTCTAGAAGATTAAAACTTCCTTTTCAGCTGCAAGACTTGTCTCTTGGTCTAGTCTTTGGATCAGAAACACAGAATGGTATCAAAAAAGAAGAAATAGTGATAGTAAGAAATTGCTTATGTACATAATGAATTAAATGAAGTAAGAGTTGAAAAGGGAGATGTTGGTGCAGTGGTAGATGTGAATGGTAGAAGGTAATCTACAACCGTCCTTGGAAAGCCTGCAGTTAACATCCAGAAACAAGAGAAGAACTAGAGGTCGAAAGATCTGAGCCCTATGTTTCAAATATAAATCTTTCCCAAGAATCCATTGGTTCCTGATAAAAAATAAGTCAGAGCAAAATTATTTGCCCAATATCAGTATTTTAGTGACCTAGCATGCAGGTGAGTATTTTGCCCACCAGTGCTATATTAACATTATCATCATCATAATTATTTGTCTACATAAACCTTCTAATTCCAAACACCCATGTCTGAATTCCTCAGAAACTCTTTCTACAAATTGTAGTTTGATAAGACTCCCTCTGAAGGACTTATATATTCATGGCCCTTTTGGAAGAGGGTAAATTTCCTCATGTTAAAAAACAAAATTCAGCTGACTAAATTGGAGGACTTAATTGGCTTTATTCAACAATTCATGAGTTGGGCATAATCCCGTCTAGCAAAGAGAAAGGAGCTCCAAGGAGCTGTGCAAAAATGGAAGACTTTTATAGGCAGAAGGGGTTTGAGAGGAAAGGAAGTTTCTAGCAAAGAGTAGAGTATTTTAGGCAGGGTCACCACCCTCTGGGTAAGTGTGAGGGGTCCATCAAGCAGATTACCTCACTAGCGCTGACCAGGTAGTTTCAGGTTGACCGATTAAAGGTCACATTCCTGGGAGATGCCAAAACTACTTAAATCTTGATTTGCTGACATGGGGCTTAGCACAAGTGACTCCATTTTTGACCTGTTAACTTCTTTTTTAACACTCATCAAACACAGGTTCATTCATGATTCAGCTACAGAAGTGGTAACATGTGTATATTAGTATTGATGGTGTTTGTAACTAACAACCCCATACTGAACCAAGAAGATCAAGGGACTCAACTTGTAAAGCAGTGAGGGAGAGTAGAAGGGACATGCAATTCAGGATTAGAGCCTTATCTCCGTCTTGTTCTAGCTGTGTGACCTTGAGCAGGTTAATTAAAACTCTCTGCCACAGCTTCCCCTGTGAAATGGGGAAAGTTATTTCTCCTTCATAGGGTTTTGAGAGAGAAAAAGAGAGAGAGGAGGGGAGGGGAGGGAAAAGAAAAGTTTCTGTCACAGAAGATGTTCCCTCTGTTGGTCCCTTTATCTTATGGATACATAACCTACCTCACTGAACCAAAAAAACTCCTCTGTGAGGATATAACAATTTTATCTCAAAGAGTTTTATTTGCAAAGCTTTGCAATTCACAGTGTGATTTAATGTACATTAATTTCCCTCAGGAACCTCCTAGATCAGGATATAAATGAACTACAAAAGAAAGTGAAGATCTTGCAGGATAAAGAGAATATACTGGAAATAACCAATTCTCAGCAACAATACAGAATTCACCAACAAGAGGCCCAACTTAAACAACTGGAAAATGAAAAAGGAAAATCTGATGAGGTAAGAGAGTAAATGAACATGCTTCTCAGTTTTCCAGTTCCCATAGGACGATTGCTAATAATTATTGAGCGCCTAGCACTTTACCCATTAGTTTAGCCAGGGTTCAGTCAGGAAAGTAGAATTTGCTTTACGTGTTTCAAGCAAGAAAGGATCTAACACAGGAAATAACATGCTTATAAAACTGTTGGAAGGGAGAGTTAGGGTAAGTAGAAGGTCAGAAAGAACTGCTGCTGGCTTTCAATTAATGCAGAAGTTCAGAAATCGCTGGAGCCAACTCCTGCAGCACCTAGGTGGGGGATTTGCAGGAACTCTTCGTGAAACCCCTAGGAAGGTCTCATCTGCTGACTGTGCATTCATCCACCTGCTAGTGTTAGAGGAGCGCAGTGCCTTTTCCTTCACCACGCCTTCCAGACCATGTGCAAGTGCCTCTGATTTGCACAAGGTAAACTGGAGCTCTGCTGTCGAGGGAGTCTGGGAAATAGTTTTCAGACTTCCAACTTTGCAGCACCGAGAAGAGCTTAGAAAAGTAGGGTCCTGTTGAGCAACAGCACAGTCCACTTATACAGTTAACATCCATATAAACCCTTTATCCATATTTAAATACAATAACAAACAACAAAAGGAATATCATGCTCCACCTATATGATACACTGCCACTCATATAAGTGGAGAGAAACACACTTAACCTCTCCAGGTTTCATCAGTATTTATGATCATTTGGGGATAATATGTTTTGGTTTTTTTAAATTCTCACCTGAGGATGCTTTTTCATTGCTTTTTAGAGAGAGAGGGAGGAGAAACATTGATTGGTCACCTCCTGCCGGTGCCTGAATCAGGTATTGTACACACCAGGACCAGGGCTTGAACCTCCAGCCTAGGTATGCAGACTGACCAGGAATCAAACCCACAACATTGGTTACAGGTGGATGCTTCAACCAACTGAGCCAAACTGGCCAGGGCTGGGAATAATGTTAATTGCTGCTTTTTCATGGGCACACTGTAATTAAAACTTAATTACAAAGTTAACTACCAAAAATTCAATAATACACATTCTACCATTCCCAAATGTGTGAGAAGGCATTCCCACTTCCATCTCTTGGTTTCTTTCCAACTATTTTGGCTGTGAGAGAAATGGCATCATACACTATTAATAACTGGTTAAACGTATATACATCATGTGCCCTGGCCAGGCGGCTGAGTTGGTTGAAGCGTTGTCCCAGGTACCAAAAAGTTGCAGGTTTGATTCCAGGTCAGAGCACATACCTAAGTTGCAGGCTCTATCCCCATGGGGGCACATATGGGAGGCAACCAATTGATGTTTCTCAAATCAGTGTTTCTCTCCCTCTCTTTTTCTCCCCTCTGCAAAAGAAAGTCAGTTTTTTTAAAAAAAGTACCCTCAGGTGAAAATTTAAAAAAAAAGGTTGCCCTGGCTGATATGGCTCAGTGAACTAAGCACTAGCCTGCAAACCAAAAGGTCACTGGTTTGATTCCCAGTCGGGGCACATGCCTGTGTTGTGGGCCAGGTGCCCAGCTGAGGGCATGTTAGAGGCAACCAATCAACATCTCTCGCACTGATGTTTTTCTCCCTCTTCCTCCCTCCCTTTCCCTCCCTCTAAAAATAAATAAGTAAAATCTTTTTAAAAAACAGTTTATATATCATGTTATAAGAATCATCTAACCCCAAAAGATACATGGTAAGACCAATGACATTTATATGAGCCTTTGTTTCACCTAATCTTACTGTAAAATGATATTCTTGGTCAGAAGCAATGTTGAGTGGAAAGACCACAGATAATGGTTCTGGCAATAGCATTATGGACAGAGAAAGTAAATGCGTATCTAAAATAAGCATCTATTCCACTGAGGACAAATTGTTGTTCTTTCCATGATGTAAGGGGTCTGGCGTAACAAGTCTGCCTGTAATAAACCTGTAGTGGATGATTCCATAACAGTTGCTCAACACGGATCATTGCTTTTTGCAAGTTGAGTGGATTAGCACTGGTGACCCCTTGTAAAATATATTCCTGCCACCATGTACTTCGTACAGGAGCCCACTAGGCAAGCAAATGGGTGCTGATCAAAGAGGTTGACATCTACAGAATGTACCATTTTTTTCACCTGATTGTTGAGAGCCCTCTCTCCTGCGGATGCCCTCTGGTGAGCAAAAATATGTAAAACATGTGCTTTCACAGTCTCAGCCTGTGCTCTCCAATATTGTCAACTAGCCACACATGGTTATTTAAATTTAAATTAATTAGAAAGAGAGAGTAAAATTAAAAATTCAGTTCCTGAGATGCACTAGCCACATTTCAGGTGCTCGGTAGCCATGTGTGTGTGACTAGTGACTACTATACCATATTGGAGAGTCCAGCTATGGAACATTTCCATCATTGCAAAAAATTGTGTTGGGCAGCATTTGTAGTTCTAGATCCCTTTCCTAGACCTCTTTTTCACCAGTCCTCCAATATGATTCTTTCTAAATTTCAGATCATCTGTCCAAACTATTAAACACTTTCTGTGAATTAGTTTAGGTTCATGCCTCTGGCCATCTCTCTTTCCAGGCAAAGTGAACACAAACTTTGCCCAACAAGATTTCCCTTCCCACTGTTCATAAGAGCCACCCCCCAGTAGGGCTATAATGTTGCAGCAGCCCTATTTCAAGTGGTTGCAGCATATGGTACAGAACCATGTGTAAATTAGGCCTGAATATATTCTTCCTCAGTTCACTGGTCACAGGGAACTCCCCACGAGGCCATAGGATGGGTTAAGAGAGGTGATAACGTAGTCAAAGTTAGTACCACTTGCTCACGCAACTTTGTACCTTTAGCACCTGCTCAGGTCCTGTATCTTACATAGCACTTCCACTTGAGGATGGAGTGCTACTGCACATGCCCAACTTCATGGCTTGGTGAATAATATAATGCCTAATTTCAGCTCATGTTACTCGATCACTTGATGTCTCATGGCTAAGTATTCAGTCTGCACCAGGGCTGCGTCACAAGCAAGAACCTTCCTTAAAAGTGAGTAGCTGTTACGGGAGGAGGAGTGCCTTCACTCCCAAATCCTAAGGTTGAACTATCGCATCAAGCTTGCCAAGGGCTTTGTATAGTGTCCTTATCCACCAGCAAAACTTGCAGGATCTTTGGATTTGCTGAGTCATAAAGCCCAGGTGGAAAAGCAGTTTGCACTGCAGCCTGGCCCAGCTGCATATCTTTGTCTTGCTTTGGATGCCACCAAAGCTCACAGCCTTGATAAATGGGTTGAGGGAGCAAATGTAGTATAAGTTGGTTCTAGAATCTGAAGAGGCACTCCAAACACTTGGCTTTTACTACCATCAATAGCCCTCATTCCTCAGGTCAGAAAGCCAACGTGGAGCATCTGCTATTCCGAGTGGTCTCTTCTGACTGCATTCAAGAATTGGACAAATAACCACTGGGGGGGATTCACAAATCCAGTAGGCCCACTGGGAGACATGTGCTGAGCCAATGAATCAGTGCAATTGTACTCTTAAGACACATTGTAAGTTTAAATTCCATTTTTCACCTTACTTCATTAAGCCCCCACTCTGAACTGGGAATATCCATGCCATTTTGGGTCCCAAATATTAGTGCTGACTCAGAATCACTGCACTGTAATTCCACAAATGTCTATCAAAGTCCCTTTCTCAATGCCCAGTCACCTTGAAAAAGGCCACAGGTCTCTTTGAGGAAAACTTGGGAGAAGATTATGTATTTGTATCACATACTGTATCACAGGGTTTTCCATGAAGACAACCTGGCATTCCCATCATTCAAACAACTCTGGGTCTCTGAACTGGCTCATGTCCGGGGATTGAGTAAGAGGCCATTACTCTACTTTGTCATTCAAACTTGACCTCTGTTTACCAGACTCAGGGGCTCTGTCTTCCTCCCTCCCTCCCTTCCTCCCTCCCTTTCTTCCTTCCTTTTTTTTTTTTTTCTCCGTTCTCCCTTCCTCCCTCACTTCCTCTCTCCCGCTCTTTCTCTCTCCCTCCTTCTCTTTCCCTCCCCTCCTTCCTTCCCTTCCTTACGTAACTTTAAAGGGTTGCCCATCTATTTTAGTCCTAAAATCACTGTGAGCAATTAACCACAACTAAAGGTTGTTGCAAGTCAAATCATTTAGTTATATCTCTGGCCCTACTATCTAATAACAGTGATAGTGCCCACCTGGGGGTTAAATATTGCCACTTGACCTCTGACACTATATTATCATTATCTCCATTAAAATCAGGGATCCCTTTTAATGTTGGTACCTACTACTGTCATCCTTAGCAGGATAGCATTATAAGAGCACTTAAAGAAATCCACTTAAACCTTTGGATTTCTTCCGTTGTCTTATGTAAAAACAGTATAGCATCTTAATGTCATTTGACATAGACCATTGTGGAGTCCAAATTTCATCAATCAACCAAGCAAACTATTGAAGTCACTGTAGATGTCCAAGTTAAACACATTACATCCTGAATCCCTAGTAAGTGCATCCGTATCAATAAATTCAGCCTAGTCAATATTATATTCCTTTCTTTGTAGTGTAACACCCTACAAATACATTCTCACATACATTCCTCAGGTTTCTGCCAATTTAATTTGGCAAAATATTTTCATTTTTTTCAATAGGGTAGTCCTCCCAGATCAGTCCCTGTTCTCAACCTCTCTTCCCCAGGATGTGATGGGATCTGACTCTAGTTACAGGATGGGAGCCAATGAGCAGTAGTGTACAGGTGGGTCTTGAGAACAATAGGCATCCTCTTACAGGATAACTGTCTCAGGTGCTTCAACACAGAGCCCAAGGCAAGAGTAGTCAACCTCCTGAGAGCTGAGAAGGGACTATTTGTGCAGATGAGAGAGACTCATTAGAATTTGGAAGTCCAGAGTGCTCAAAGGCTTTCAAATCCTCTCAGATGCACCCATTCCCAATTCTCAGAATTACATGCAATCCCAGACAAAGCATTATTTTTCACATAAGAGACCTGGCAAGGCTATGAAGTCAATTCTGCAACCTACTTGATGAAATTTGGGATTAGTTTTTGGATACATTTACCTGCTGCCTACAAGAGAGAAGAAGTTTGCCCTGGCTGGTGTGGCTCAGTGGATTGAGAGCCAGCCTGTGAACTGAAAGTTTGCCAGTTGGATTTTCAGTCAGGGCACAGGCCTGGGTTGCGGACAAGGTCCTCAGCTAGGGGCGTGCAAGAATCAACAGATTGATGTATCTCTCACACATTGATGTTTCTCTCCCTCCCTTCCCCTCTCTCTAAAAGTAAATAAATAAAATCTAAAAAAAGAGAGAAATAGAAGAGGTTTTTTCAGAGTACTATAGAGGCTCTCTGAGTCTCTGACTGCCTTTTTCCAATAATTAAATCCCCAAGTTGGACATTATCTCCTTGAAAGCTCATTGACATGCTCAGATATGGCTAGCCCATCCCAAACTTCTTGTATTTCTCAATTCTGCTATAACATTCTTTGTACCAGACATGTAGTCTCCCAAAGTACTTCATGACAGGCAACTATAAGTTATAATTTAATCAACTCTTATGGCATGGATATCTAGTACTAGTGACAAGATCAGATTGCATTTAAATCTAACCTGGTCAGATAAGCAAGCTTTTTTCTTTTTTCTTTTTAAGAGAGAGGGAAAATAGAGGGAGAAAGAGAGGGAGAGAAACATCGATTGTGAGAGATACATGGTCGCCTCTTGCATGCCCCCAACTGGGGACCTGGCCCACAACCCAGGCATGTGCCCTGACTGGTACTCGAACAGGTGATCTTTCAGTTCTCAGGCCAGCACTCGATCCACTGAGCCACACCAGCCAGGGCAGATAACCAGTCTTGAGCTTCCCATCTTTTAAGAATCTTTTCACTGGAGCCATTTCTAAAAGCAGATACGTTATTAGTCAGGGTTAGATCAGGAAACAGTTTTCATTTTATGTACTTCAAGCTGGAAGACTTTTTATATAGGGAATTAGAGGCTTGCAAAACTACTGGGGAGGCTGTTGGAGCAAAAGTCCAGGAAAAGAGCTGCTAGCTTTCAGGAAACCTGGAGGAGCAGAAATCATCGGAAGCTACGATGGTGTCAGAAGCAGAAAGGCTTTGTCAATTTACATTCCATGCACATCATACCTTTATTCAGCACAGAATATTCTCATTTTAAAACATGTTTTTCAGTGTCTCAAGAGCAACCAGGAATTGTCAGAGAAGGTGTCTGGGTTGCAGCAGGAGAAGGAAGCTCTACATAAAGAATATGGGAAATTTTTGAAGCAGTTTGATGCCTATGTGAGGTAAACAAAAGCAAGTTCTCTTTGGAAGGGAAACTTTTGCTTTTCCCCAAACACACCCTTCTCACTTGCCTTCAGGCTTTTTCCCCCTCACTGCTTTCCTCAGCCTGGACCACCCTCTCCTCCTTTCGACTCTTCATTTCAACTCATGTTTCTTAGGCTAGTAGTCACCTTCTCTAAGGAGCCTTTCTTGACACCACCAGCCTGGGCTGCGAGAAGTGTTTGTTCTTGTACGTGCCTCTCGGTACTCATTTCAGAACTTGCCATGTTGTTTTGAAATAATGTGATTTACTACCTGTCTTCCTCACCATACGGTAAGCTTCTCAGGGTCATGGGCCACCATCTCACTCATCTTTTTCTCCATAGTCCCTGGTATATAGTAGGTGCTCAATAAAAAATTGTGTTCCTGAACTTCCTGCTCTTTCATTCCATCTCCTGGTCATTATTCCATCGTATTCCTCCTGCTCCCCTCCTCTCTGGAATGTAGCACAGCAGTTCAACTGTGGACTCTGGAGCCGTACTGCTTGGGTTCAAATCTTGGTTCTACTAGAAACTAAAAATTGTATGACCTTGGGTGAGTTATGTCAACTCTGTGTGTCTGAGGTCCCTCATCTTTAAAGTGAGCAAAACAACAGTACTTGTAAAGTTGCTGTGAGAATTAAATGAATAAATGTATGTTGTAAAGTGCTTTCTTAGAACAGTGTCTAGCACATAGCTATTATTATATCTATTCATTTTTCTTTTTTTCTCCATTACCAAACTCTCTGCTCCCAGCTCTGTAATTTTCTTTTTTATTCCTTTATAACTTAAAATTTCTTATTCTTTTATGTTCTTACCTACTAAGTTTCTTACTCTTTTTTATGTTTACCTACTATCTTGATGATGTTAATGATTATGACTTAAAAACCATTGTTTACTACTGTCTAGCAGAGAGTATTTTTCGGAGTCATTACTATTCATTATCTTGCTCTGACCATCCTATCGCTGAGAAATGTAGAAATCATGGTCAAGGGAGTATATGTGGTTCAGTTCATGCTGCTTACAAATCTTAGACTAGAATTCCATCCTTCGATAACCTATGCAGTGCTCTTTCTACATTAGAGGGAATGAATTGCTAGATCTGGAGTATATAAAATGCCACAATGCTTGCCAAATGAATTAATACTGAATCTAGTGTATAATACATATATAATGTATAATACTCATATATGTCAGGTCAATATCAATCCTCAAAGGTAAAATTACATTTGATCTTTAGGGAGTTACATTTTCTTATTCATTTCACAGATAATGAAACAGCAATGCAGATTTTTTAATATAAAAAAAAACACCCAGAATCCATCCTGTGTTTACTCCTTGTTCTCTGTCACTAAACATAGTTTCATAGTTTTATAATTTTACTGTCATAGCTTAGATATAATTTTATATTCTTTCAATATCATTTCATAAGCATTGTGCTCTGTTGCTACAGTCTTTGAATTTGCTTATTTTTATAAACAATAATACTTCATAAAGTTGATATGCCCTTGCACTAACTGTGTTTGAGTGCTAACAAAGACTAGCAGAACCCCAGTGCTTACAGATGGACAGCTCACTGCAGGAGAAGGACACAATGCGGTGACAGAACCAGAGTCAGGATACGTACCAGGGCCCGTGGCTGTCTCACAGCAGACAATGCAGAGCAGTTCGGGGCCTCCGAGCCCCTCCCTGCATGAGGGCTGTGCCTGGACGCACCTCCTCTCTCGGGTCAAGAACCACAGACATGCACTAAACACCTCACAGTCAGGGATCCCAAACTTGAATCTCAACTGAGATTTTTAAAAATATTCTGCTGGTCTTGTAAGCACACCTCTGCTACGTAACCAGCCTCAAGAGCAGAGCCTTCCTGGGGTCTCCCTGAGACTAAGTGCAAACCATCAGTCTCATTGTTATCAATAAACAGGGCTGGCCAGCTGGTGCAAACTGTTGTGAAGTGACTTGGACCTGTGTTATAAAGCAGCACAGTTATACTCAGCATTTTCGTCCCTTGACCAGTGGTCAGTGCCAAGCAAGAAGTTTAGCAAAGCTGCTCAGGGCAGTTCTAGACCTGCAGGAGTTAACCCTCACAGCACAGTCCTAGTTTAGTTAAAAATTACTTGCTGATCTATGATTGAATTTTTATTCAAAATAACACAAAGAAGTTTGGTATATATATGTTTTCATTTAAAAAGTTATTTTTATAGAAAACATTCTCAGAAGTTGAATTACTGGTTAAAAAGCCGGTATCCTGGATCTTCAAATGAATTGACAAACATTCAGAAGCAGCCTCTCAAAATGTCCTGCCATCATTACGTAACAGTAATCCATATGAGCGCTGGGTGCTATTGATGGAATTTTCCCAGTATCCTTTGTTCCAATGGAGGTGTAACTTAATTATAATAAACACACAGATTTTAAATGGACAATTTGGTGAGTTTCGACAAATGTGTGCACCGACGTAACCACCACTTCCGTCACGACACAGAGCATTTTCTTTACCCCTTCAAGTTCCCTGCTGCCCGTTGGTAGTGGTCCGTATCTCCTGCCCCCCACCCCCTCCCAGGCAGCAGATCCTAACCCTAGCTGCGTATGCCTGGGCCCCGATATACATGAATGAAATCATCCTCTTCAGATAAGGCTCAGGGACCAATGTTCTGCTGAGAGCTTCCCCTTGTGATTCTGATGCGCACACAGGGTTGAAAACGACAGCTTTAGGAATGCAAATGGAAGGGACTGTCAAAACTCTAGGCTCGTTTTTGTTTCCACCCCCCTGATCTCAGTCCTGACCTTTACAGGCAATACTCATTTTTTCCATGTTTTCCCAACGAGCCTTCCAGAGGAACAAATTCTGTGCCTCTTTGAAGTAAAAATAATAGAAATACCATCTAGTTTTACTTAAACATAAGCAAAAATCTGTCCCTGAATTTTAGAACTTCAGTACTGTGCTGCCTCGTAGTACTAGTAGTTAACAAAGCCACATGTTCTTCAGGCAGGTTGGCCAACGGAACTGACCAAACCAACCGGTGTGCCAAACAGTGAGCCAGCAATGGCAAGAGAAGGCTCTAAGTCCTCACTTGTACTGCACCAACATACTCTTCAGACCATGCATAACATTGCAGGAAGAGGCCTGAACCTCAAGCAGTATGAGCTAGTTAGGTCAAGTATAATACATTCGAGGAACATGTTACAACTGAAAAAAGTGGTTGCTATAAAAACTAGAAAACAGCATGTAAAAATGATTATGACATAATCAATGAAAAGAGCATAAGATAAAATTTTTAATGCAGGTAATATTTAAGCAAAAGATGCTTACAAAAAGACTAAAAGGAAATACAACAGTATTATAGTAGCGATCATATTGGAAGTTGGAATTTTTTCCCAAATTTTCTATAATTTAGCATTTGTCAAACTTTCCTTTTTAAAATCATTTTTATTGTTGTTCTATTACAGTTGTCTCAGTTTTTCCCTCTTTGCCCCCCTCCACCCACCCCACCCCCACCCCCCACTCCCACAGTTTATTCCCGCACTGTTGTCCATGTCCATGGGTCATTCATACATGTTCTTTGACCAGTCTCTTCCCTTTCTTTCCACCATTACCCCCCTCCCCCCTTCCGTTTGGTCACTTTCAGTATGTACCATGCTTCCCTGCCTGTGGTTCTATTCTGTTCATTAGTTTATTTTGTTCATTAGGTTCCTCTTATAGGTAAAATCATATGGTATTTGTCTTTCACTGACTGGCTTGTTTCACTTGGTAATATTCTCCAGTTCTATCAATGCTGTTGCAAAAGGTAGGAGTTCCTCCTTTCTTTCTGCTGTGTAGTATTCCATTGTGTAAATGTACCACAGTTTTTTGACCCACTCCCTTACTGATGAGCGCTTAAGCTGTTTCCAGCACTTGGGCATTGCAGATAGCACTGCTATGAACATTGGGGTGCATAGGTTCTTTTGAATTGGTGATTCAGTATTCTTAGGGTATATTCCCAGAAGCAGAATCACTGGGTCAAAGGCAGTTCCATTTTTAGTTTTCTAAGGAGATTCCATACTGTTTTCCACAGTGGCTGCACTAGTCTGCATTCCCACCGACAGTGCACTAGGGTTCCGTTTTCTTCCCATCCTCACCAGCACTTGTTGTTTATTGATTTAGTAATCATGGCCATTCTGACAGGTGTGAGATGCTATCTCACTGTGATTTTAATTTGCATCTCTCTGATGTCTAGTGTTGTAGAGCATCTTTCCATATGTCTATGGGCCATCTGTGTGTCCTCCTTGAAAAAGTGTCTATTCAGAGCCTTTGATCATTTTTCAATTAGATTGTCTTCCTGCTTCCTGTTGAGTCATATGAGTTCTTTATATATTTTGGAGATCAAACCCGTGTCTGATACATCATTGGTGAATATGTTCTACCATACAGTAAGTTCCCTTTTTATTTTGATAATGGTTTCTTTAGCTGTGAAGAAGATTTTTAGTTTGATGTAGTTCTATTTGTTTATTTTTTTCTTTTATTTCCCTTGCCCTAGCAGATATATTGGCAAAAATATTGCTACGTGGGATATCTGAAATTTTCCTGCCTATGTTTTTCCTCTAGGACTTTTATGGTGTCATGACTTATTTTTAAGCCTTTTATCCATTTTGAGTTTATTCTAGCTAATGGTGTAAGTTGGTGGTCTAGTTTCATTTTTTTGCATGTACCAGCCCACTTCTCCCAACATCATTTATTGAAGAGGCTATTTTTATTCCATTGTATGCTTCTGCCCCATTTGTCAAATATTAATTGACCAGAGAGACTTGGGTTTGTTTCTGGGTTCTCTGTTGTGTTCCATTGGTCTATGTGTTTGTTCTTATGCCAGTATCAGACTGTTATGATTACAGTGGCCTTCTAGTATAGTTTGATATCAAGTATTGTGATCCTTTCTACTTTGTTCTTCTTTCTCAAGATTGCTTGAGAAAGTAATTGGGGTCTTTTTTTGTTCCATATGAATTTTTGG